TGGCAGGCACTGGTAAAGGTCAGGGTCAGGGTGAAAGTCATTAGGGGCCCAGACCTGAGCTCAGTAAGTCCTACTCCCAGACCTAGAAGATTGGTGGGCCCCACAGACTCTCCTCCCCTGGAGTTGGGACCCAGTTCCTCCTCTGGTCCCCTACACCCTTTTGCCCTGCAAAGACCCCCTCTTGCTGAGTAGTCCCAGCTCCTTCAGCTCCTTTTCCCTCTTGTCAGGATTTGACCCTCAGGCCTCTCCTTTGATTCTATCTCCCCAGATCTTCACAACTGTCTTTCCCCAAAGGGAGAGAGCTATGAAAAGCAGATCAGATTACCACTTATTGGTGGGCTTATGGTGGGCACCATACCTCTAGGAATGTGGCCCAGGAACCCAATCCTTTCTTGGCAGCCACATATCCTAAGACTGGGCCCTTCTTGCTGGGTTATCACTGATCCCTTAATCCATCCCCTTAAGAGAATGGCTCTTCCACTGGCAGGAATTCTCTAGTAACTGGCATCTGCCTAGCCTCAGAGTCCTCCGTCCAGTCGGCCGTAGCATATGTCAGGCATGCCCTTCAGCCTCCCTGCTGAGTTAGGGCAAGAACAGAAGATTCAGGGAACCCATGCTGGGTCCCTGTACTTGCCTCCTCCTTGTCCATGCTCAGATAGCCCCTGTGAGACCTCATGGTACCCATTCTTGTATAATTCCTGGCCTGTATATTTCATTTCCTCCTGAAAATCCAAACAATGTTTTTTCTCCTCACCCCTCTCTACCCCCTCCCAATCATACACCTGCTCCTTTCCAATATTAAGGATAAGGGAGAGTAGATTGTATTCAGAGCAAAAGTCAAGCTCAAAAGAGCCATAAATCTAACCAACCACAATGCCAATGAGATATGGAACAGGGAAAGCACATGCCAGGTCATACGTATTTTTTACCACAGAGTCTGCATATTTTGCTCTGTCCACATCAGTATGGGGGTCAGTTCTGTGGTGCATGGCCTTGGCATGTTAGTCACATGCATGTATGGAGCATGGTTCCTGCTAGGAACCACGTGTATGTATACATGCTCCCATGTGTGTGGTGGGCAGTATGCCAGGTCCACTATGAGGCGTGTGCGCTGCGATGCGCAGGGCTGCTGCCTGTAGCTCGTTAGCAGGGGAGGGGGGCTTGTGAAACTAGACCCTGGTTATTAGCAATGCATTAGGCGCGGGCAGCTGGCCAGGCGGGAGGGACTCCGGACTCTGTCAGGGAATATGTGAGCAGCCTTTGTGGGGGCCAGGCCTACAACCCGGACAGGCACCCTGGAATCGAATTACGCACTTTAAAGGCTAGCTGGAAGTGGGGCATGGGGAGATGGGGCTGGAGCCTGGTGGGTGGGTTGACCCCTGGGTGCCAGCCTGGGTTAGCCTGTGGCCCAGCCCCAGTCTGAGCCCACAGACCTCATGGGCCACAAAGAGCACCTACAACCCTAAGGGCCCTGGAATGTCAAAGGAGAGAGAACCTTAAATCTGCCCCAAACCCCTGGCTGCTCCCCTGAGCTACAGTAGCTTGATCAATACGTACTGAAAAGGTAGGTAGCCCAGACCACAGCCTGACCCCCATACCAGCCCTTATCCACTGCCTAGTTCCCAGCCTAGACTACCTTCTGATCTATAACCTTGAGCTGACCCCTAAGCTACATCTGACTTTGGAGCCCTGACACTAATCATGGCCTGAACTCTTACCCTGGAACAAGCTTGCCTCCACTGACTGATTCTGATCCCTCAAACCCTTGAGACTATGAGTCCTTGAGAATAAGAGCCGTCCTGCTCCTTGGGTCCAGTACAAGCCCACAGCCTGGGCCAGAGTGTATGAGGGAGACGCCTGATCACAGAAGAGAGCCAGAGGTAAGGAAAGGCAAATACTAACTAACTGCCCTGCCTGCCATCTCCCTTCCAGGATTTCTCCCCATTACCCTGGGTGCCACAAAAACAGATGTGTTCCCATCACACTAACAGAGGTCACTGGGAACCCCTTAGGGCCTCAGATCAGGATACTTCCCTCAGACCCATCCATCCTCCCAGGCCTATCTGATCCCTTCTCCCGGAGGAAAGCCTCTCTCGCTGCCCTCAGGCTTCACACTGGAACAGCTATCAGCTGATACAGGTCGTATGGATATGCCACGTGGCTCTGATTCTGGCACTTGGGATCTGGGCAGGGCAGGGCACTCACATGCTGCCACTGGTCCAGGATGAGGGGTCGGTATCGCAGAAAGAACTTGAGAGGAAAGGACTCAGGGTCAGGCCAGGTTGAAGGGGTCTGCCAAGTCACCTCTAGCCGGCGAGGGTTGCTGGGAACTGGTCGGGCTACCACATTTTCTGGAGGGTCAGGTTTCACTGTTAAGGAGACACAGCTTCATTACCACACTAATCTCTGGAAAAACCCCACTTTGTCAGCCCCAGTCACCGTGTCCACCATCTCATATTGCCAATTCTTGTCATAACTGTCATGGTTGCCACCCCTCTTCTCCGTTGTCAGTTCTGGCAACCACCATTAACAACCATCTCATTATTTCAACCTCTCACATCCCTATTCCCACCAAGGACTGTCACTACAGTCACTGTCACCAGCTCATGATAATGATATCCCAAATTTCATCCCATCATCCCAGCCCCATGCTCATGATGACCAGCATCCCATCCCAATTACCAAGTCTAAATGATGGCTCCACCATTACCAGCATCGCCTCCATTGTCATCTGGATCACCCCCTCCTGCACCAGCATCATACACTCCCCTCAAGCTCAGCATTTCACCTCAACTCTTCCAGTTCCAAATTGAGATAAAGTCTACCCTGGAAGAGTCTGGGTTTGAAGCTGCTCTGTGGGTCAAGGTTAAAAGACAGTCCACAGGTGTGGCAGATCTGGGTTGGACTCCTGACAGGAGTCTAAGGGCCCAGCTCATGTAGAAACAGTCTGGCTGGGGGATTCAGCCATGGCATGGAGGGCAGGCAGAGGGTCTGGCTGAGATGGAGAAGAAGCAGGCAAGGGGTCTGGCTGGGATTGGGGCAGGGGCAGGCAGAGGATCTGGATGGGGTGGAGCAGGGGCAGGCAGAGGGTCTGGCTGGGATTGGGGCAGGAGCAGGCAGAGGATTTGGATGGGATGGGGCAGGGGCAGGCAGAGGGTCTGGCTGGAGTGGGACAGGAGTAGGCAGAAGGGTCTGACTGGGATGGGGGTGGGGGTGAGGGCGGTATCTGTCCCAGTCCTGTCTCCTGTTCTGACACCTCATTCATCACAGGCCGTAAGGAAGCCATTAGCGTGGGGCGGGGGGTGGAGGCTGCAGCTGCACAAGGGTCTGGCCCAGCCTGCCCCCCCTCCCCCTCCTGAATACTCTGGGAGCCAGAGAGAGTATGGGAAGAGCTGCTGGAAAGGTCTCTTGGCCCCTACAGGTAAAGGACACCCACTCAAATATTCACAGGTATATACATGCCATGAACATATGTACACATGTATATACATTCCACATATACCTATGCACACATGTGACTATCCCCACCAATGCTCATATACACCTCTGGCACACCCCCACTCACACACTCCCACTGGAGTATGTTGCAGGGACCACCCCCCTCCCGACGCACCAATGGTGAACTCGTCGAAGGTGATAGCTGTAGCGTTGTGGCCCAGGGCATTGCTGACACTTATCGAGACCTTGTACTTGATGGTGGAGAACAGGTGCATGTAGCGGATGTGGCAGCGGTTCTTGAGGGCTGGGTCCTTCTCACAGACCATAATTTTGGAGCCATGCCTGGGGAAGGGTGAGGCCCAGGCACTGTTACCAACATCAAGAGTCAGGTGGGGCAGAGGTTGGGGGAAGGTCAAGCCCAAGGCTGGGCTAGGGTCTGGACTGAGGGCATGGTGGGTGGCTGAAGGAGAGGTCAGAGGTCAGGGTTGAAACCGGGTCACAGGCAAGTCTACTCACAGCACGGTCACATTGAAGGTGTTGGGGATGTAGGTGGGGGTGGGCAGATGCCAGCTGCAGTAGAAGCCCTTGGGGTAAGTGTTGGAGCGGCAGCTGAGCACAGGCTCCCGCGGCGGCACTGGGGGTGAGGACAGCACGGTCAGGGTATTCTTGGAGCCCCTAGTCCCCTGCACTAGTGTGGGGACAGGTGGGCCCCAGAACCCCAGCTCTCCCCCCTTCAACCCATCAGCTATGCCAGAGGTTGGGGAGGGGTGGCTGTCAGCGAGGGTCTGAGGCTTCCCAGGCTGCAGACAGCCAGATGTTTAATTAAAGAAAAACAAGGCCTATATGAAGAGGGAGCCCCCCCCACCTGCTCAATGGAGGCGGGAATTGTGGGGGAACAGGGGGCTGCGGGCCTCAGCTCATCAATCACAGGATGGAGATGATGTCTGGGGGAATCGGCCCCAGCCCCACATCTCCTGACACGTTGTGTCCATTCCCAGAGAAAAACTGTGCAACAGAAGCTGGTGGGGGGAGGGGGGCGCGGGGGCAGATGGTCCTGATTGGGTCCTCTGGTTGCGGGAGTAGTCAGAGTGAGCTCCCTGGAGAAAAGTCATCCCAGGCTTCCCCTCAGTAGAGATTAAGAAACACAAGGAGAGGCCTGGTGGTTCCACAGGAGCAATAGCACTGGGTGGCTGTACATGTGAGTATCTGTGTATAGGTGTCTAGGTGCGTGGGTATATATGTCACATGTGTCTCTGTGACATGAATGATCCACAATGGAATGTAGAGGTATCTATGGGCATGGCTCAGAATGTGTGGCCACGTAGGATTGCATGTGTGTGCATATGCCTGTTGAGAGGAAGCTACTGTTCCCTTGGTATATACCTCACTTCCAAGCCCTAGCCCCCAGCTCCTCCATCATAGACCCTTTAAGCAGTTCTTTTCTTGGTCAGCAGCTGCCTTCATTCTAGCATGGGGAGTCCCAGAGAGGGATGGGGATCTGCCTGGGGTCACACAGCAAGCTAGAGTTGGGACTGAACTCCAGGATGGGGATACCCACCTACATGACCACACATACACACTTGGGAAGTCCTTTCTGCTATCTAACCACACTTCTTGCTGCTGTGAGCACTTAGCCCAGCTGTCCCACCCTTAGGCATTGGGTAAGGCGTGAGGACAGCCGGCTCAGGTTCCTGGAAGGAGGCAACTTCTGTGATCTGACCCAGGCAAGGAATGTCCGTCAGTGGCTCCAGGGACACTGACACCTCCCTCCTGTGCCCCCCCCCGCCCCACCCCCTGCCTGACAGGTGGACAGGAAATGGGAGGGGGGCAGTTCAATAAGCCAGGGACTGTGAAGGGGGGAGTGCATGTCTATGCTTGCTGAGTGACCATGGTGACACACAGGGAACTGTGGGCTTTCATCCACAGTGTACACGTGATGGTGACTGATTCTGTGTGATTGCATGTACATGTCCATTGTGTGTGAAGTATATGTGTATTGGGGCTGAACCCCTAGGGCCCAATCTGGCTTTGCAGCAAGAAAGATGAGGGGTCCAAGAGGCATCTGGGAAGCTTGGGTGAATGTAGCAGCTAGAGTGGGCTGTGCTGTGGGCAAAGGCAGCTCCATGCCCCAGGGCTGCAAGGAAGAGCCAGAGCCCAGCTGAGCCCCCACAAGGGGCAACCTGCATTCTATCCACTGCTGTCTGCCTCCCCTGGGAAGCTTTCCTGGCCCCGTGTCCATCTTGTGTCTGTTCCATGTTCATCCTGTGTGCCTCTGCTATCCCTTCCCTATCTGCCCAGGGGCACAGAGGCATGGGGGTGGGGTGGGGGGTGGCCAAGGACACAGGAAGTGCCTTGTGGGGGCCTGTAGGCCAGGCCAGAGTTGGCAGCCACCCCAGGAGGAAAGGACATTCCGAGGTCGGCTGAGAAGCCTCCACTCCCCCCTCCTGCCACCCCCCTCCTTACCCCCAGCTTCAAAGGAGAAGGGTGCTGGGGGTGGGGTGGGTACTGAAGGCTGCAGAGTCAGCTCCCTGCTGCCTGGGACTCTTTGGAGGGCAGAGCGGGCCATGGCACTGGACTCACAGGCCCCCTCCCCCAGCCAGCCTCCCTCCCCACTGACCAGTCCCCTACATTCCCTCTGACCATCCTCCCCCCTGAGACCAGCCTCCCCCTCAAACCAGTTCCTCTCTCTGACTGGGCAGGTCATGGGGGACCGGGGGGCCAGGCAGGGCTTTGTCTGTCATCTGGCTACTCCTGCCTGGCCTTGGGCCCTGAGCAGGGAAGGGCTTGGGTTTCCTGACAGGGACCAGGTTTCTCAGAGGAAAAAGGAGGAAAGAAAAACAAAGAAAGGAAGAAAAGGAGTGACTTGCTGCAGCTGGAGCCCAGCTGAGGGGCCGGGTGGGCGGAGGTGGGGGTGCTATGAGAGACCAAGTGTGAGGTTGTGGGACAGTGTGTGATCAGGCCTGTTGTGAGTGTGCTGCAAGATGGGGAAGAAGCTGTTTTTAAGACACTGCAATTGTGAGGCTGTGCGTTAACTCTGAGAGGCTTCATGTGTGTGACTGAGACTGGGCAGTTGCGTAACTTTGCAATTGGCTGTGTGTGATTCCGGACAGGGCAGTTTGATTAAGACTGTCTGTATGTGTATGGCCAAGGGGCTGAGGTACTCTCTGAGAATGTGTGTAAGTGCACCATTGAGTCTGAAATGTAGTGACAGCAAGACGACATACCTGGAACACTATATAGGAGATGGAGCTTAAGCCTGAATATATTTTTTCAAACTGTGGGTGTGGGAAAGTGCCCAGAAGTTCAAGTATATTCACACGTATGAGCTGAACAACATGTGAAAACATGTTAGAGGCTCTGTGTGAGCAAAAGCTCAGAAGTAATTGTGTCATGTCACAGTCTGGTCATACAGACATATTCCTGGATGCCCAGGCATCCCAAGTTGCCCCTTGTGGGGGCTCCTGAGATGCCCAAGTGACTGCATCAGCCTGTGGCAGGATGTCCTTGGGTCCCATGCGGGGCCGTGTATGCGTGTACATTGCCCCCGCTGGCCCAGGGTTTGTTTGTTTTCCTCCTAATTGGCTTGTTTTTCCATGTCCAGTCCACCAAACCGCATGTTTTTCCTCTCATCTCGCCAGCCTGCCTGGGCTGGAGCCCCCGGCACGCACAAGGCCTGCCCGCCGGCCGGCCCAGAGAGGAGGAGAAACAGGCTGCCCACACCCCTGGCCAGGCCAGATCAGGCTGGGTGGGGCAGGGTGACCCTTCCAGCTCCAGCCCTGCCCAGGCCCCACCCACACTCCTCCTGTCTGGCATCAAATCCATGGCCTGCCCCAACCTTATCTCATGACATCTCTCAAGGCACCCCAACTTCTGGACTCCCACATACCCCTCTCCTGCCTTCCCACCTGTCCTTTTCCCCCAGACATCTTCAACCACAAGCTGCTCTTTCCTTCTCAGCCAAACAGGGCTGAGGGGGAAGCAGTACTGAACCAGGGGTTCTGGAGTTCCTTTCCTGACCAACCAAATATAGATATTTAAAAATTGGATAAGGAATTGTCCATTTTAAATTAGTAAATTACTCTGATTTGTTTTAGCTTAAAAACAGAAAGACACTGAATCAGCACTGTCTAGTAAACAAAAGGATGCTACTAAAGGTAACCCTGTGATCCCATTTCCTAATGTGGGTGGTCCTTCCATCATCCTGGGTGGGGGACTCCTTTGGGCTGTTTGTGAGCATCCACCTGAAGGCAGGGAGGTGAAAGTAGTTCAAGGATCAGTCTGGTTAATGGGACTTTCAAGAGTATATATATATTTTTTGAATGTTTATTTATTTTGAGAGAGAGAGAAAGCATGCATACTTGAGAGCAGGGGAGAGACAGAGAGAGAGAAAGAGAGAGAGAGAGAGAGAGAGGGAGAGAGAATCCCAAGCAGAATCCATGCTGTCAGTACAGAGCCCAATTTGGGGCTTGAGCTCATGAACCATGAGATCATGATCTGAGCCAAGATGAAGAGTTGGATGCTTAACCAACTGAGCCACCCAGCCGCCCCTCAAGAGGGTATTTTTATGATCAGTTTCCCTTAGAAATAGAAACATGAAAGTCATATATGTTTAGGATAAATATGAAATATTTTTTGGCTTGAATGACTTACAAATCAGGGTTAACTTTGTCCTGTTCTCTGAGTTCTGGCTAGAAGAAGAATAATTTGATATTGAGGGTTGCCAAACCCAGTCTCTTGTTACTAATATAAAGTGACTGAGACAATCATGATTAATGTGCCCTGTTCCTCTGACCACCAACTCTTTAGAAGGAAATAAGGCAATGAGAGATAAGTACCTGTTACTATAGCCAACTCATGACCAGCTCTCCTCTGACAAGCAGGGCCTGGGGAGTGGTCAGCACTACATATAAAAGGTCTGGGCTCTGGTGACAACAGGGCAACTGTGGGCATGTCCTGTGGGTACAGACTACAGACATTACTTCCAGACCCTATTTCCCTCCAATGACCTCTCAAAGAAGATCAAGTCATTAGGAATGAGGGCCCATGATCACCAAGGCCTAACCATCATGGCCAGCTGTCTCCATCCTAAGGGCTTCTGGGACTCAAATTGAGAATACCAGGGTGTCAAATTGGTCTCATTCTTCTTCCATGGCACTCAGTGTATGACCTTTTCCGTGTGTAAGGACGTGGGGCTGGGCTGAGAGTTACACTTCCAATGGCCCTCCCTCATGGTGGGCCAGAGAGAATTTAGGTAGGCTGGTCCTGTATTTCTCAAGCTGGCCGACAGGGGTCATTCCACCCTTGGCTTGCAACTAAGATGGCTGGTTATGATTGCCATCTCTCTAGTTTAAACACACAGAAGGCTTTTCTGTGTGAAAATGAATATCCCTACCAAAACATATTCTCATCCTTCCTCTAATCCCACTGGTGTGTCAGTGTTTTGTGGATAACCATGGGGAAACTTTCAGTCTAACATTTCCCATGGCTGTCCATACCAATCTCCTGACAATGGGCAAAAGGCCTGCTCCCAGGTCCCTCAAGCATCATCTCCCCTCAGCAGCTCCCAGGGAATAAAGAAACCATCCTCAGAAAGTGGGGTGCATCACAAAAATTGGATGAGGCCAGCAAAACATGAATCTTTGGCTCAAGGAGAAAAGAAGTGAGCCTGTGAGGAAAGAATATTCTGTTGGTGGGTGCCTCTGGCTGAGATCCAGGTGCCTACTCAGCTGACCCTCAGCAACACTGATAAGCTCATCATTTCAACTTCTCCAACCTGTCTTCTGAATCACATTCACTCACTCCTTCTACCTTCCTGTTGGCTCCTTATCTCTTTTTGTGGCTCATCTCTCTCCATCAACCCTTTATAAAGTGATGGTCTTGAGGGCCCAGTTCTGGGTTCTCTTCTCTCCTCATCCCAGAGTCTCTCCCTTGGTCATGTCACCCCATCTAAGGCCTTTCTTATCCCATCCCCAGCCCAGGTCCCTTCTGAGTCCTAGACCCTCAGATCCACTGGCTATAGCCATCAACTCCCAGATGTCCCCTGAGTACCTCAACCCAACACATCTATAGCAGATGTTGGTGGTGCTGCAACAGATCTCTGGCCCATACCTACTGCCCTCTTCTGCATTTATTTGCCTAAGAGCTTTCATTGGTCACCAAAATCTGCATTGCCTGCTGAGGCATTAGGCCAAAGTGCAGGGGAATTAAAGCATCCCTGCCCTCACCTCCAGGAGACTCTTTCAACCAAGGATGGACAGGAGTTGGTATATAAGCTTCTGAGCTCCCTCACCCCCCAGGCAGGAATACTCCCAAGGTACATGTCTGCCTGGGCTCTCTGAGTTCTCCAAGGTTAAGCTGCAGCTGCCCAGAGGGTAACTGAATAATAGTGACTGGATAACTGTCTTTATTGATCACCTTAACTTCCTTTTTCTATCACTTTCTCATTTCCTCACTGTGTTTCTGCCACCTGACAAATAAACTGCTTGCATACAAGTTCTCGTCTTGGAATCGGATTCTCAGGAAACCCAAACTAAGACTACCTTCATACTACTGTCCAAATAGAATACACTATCTTTTCTTCCACTGACCCTTCCACCTTGCCTCTGTCACAGTGATTGGTAGCACTAACTGTCTTGACTCCTCCTGCTCTCTATTCTCCTGTCCTCTCTACCTCCAATCTACCACCAACTCCTGGAGGTCCAACCAGCCCCTCTCAACTTCCCCAACTCCATGCCCCAGTCCCTGATCCTCATCATCTCTCCCGCACCCAGCAACAGCCTCCTTCCTGCCCTGGCACTGCCCCATCCAACCTGTCTCTCTTCACCACAGTGAGAAGGATCTTTTAAGAAGGTAACCCTGATCATGTTACTCCCTAGCTTGTAGGATCATGATTTGCCCCATCCCCTCCTTTAGCTCCCTTTCCTCATTTACACCAGCCCCCCAGCCTTGAAGTCCTATAGTCATACCTAGCTCTCTGCCAGAAGTGACTTTTTCAATGTATCTTCCAAATCTCCCAAGTCTCCAGTGCCTTCCACTCCAGAAAGCCTTCTTTTTTTCCTTGGAGCCTCCCAGAGTGCCTATTCCTATACCCACAGAACCAGCCTCTGTGAGAGCACACCATGGAGTTGGCTCACTCCACCTTGGAGCAGTGACCCTAAGATTCCTCCCTACCAGGCCCCAGATAGGCCATGCCCTGCCAGCCCTCCCCTGCTCATCTTGTCATAGGCAGTATGATTTTCGGATCTCAAAGACCTCCAGGGGTGGGGTGGGGGTGAGATACCTGGGCAAAATGCCCAGGGGTCTGGACTCAGTGGGAAACACCGGGCTCAGAGGTCAGAAGAGAAGGCTAGGATAGGATCAGAAGGCAAGGGTCGGTGCTGCAGCCCGCCTCCCCAAAAGGAAGAGGACTTGATCTGAGCTAAGGGTCTGGGCCTCACGGACAGTCCTCTTGAGTGGAGTGGTAGGTCAGGTGAGGGCTTGGGAGCAACACTTACAGCCGACATGTAGTAGGACTTGGTGGCGCAGATGCCAAGAGTCACGGTGGAAGCAGGCATAGAGGCCACTGTGGCCCAGTTCCAAGCCATGGAGCACAAGCTGAGAGCCGTTGAGCAGGTCAGGGGCTAGGTCTGTCCCATTTACCCTCCACGTCACCGCTGCATCCCAGTTTGCTGTCCCACACGGCAGAGTCACATCTGAACCTAGGCGCTCGTACTGCACGTGGGGTGCCTCTGTGGGGGGTGGGGAGAGCACAAGGCAAAAGTCACAGGTCACAGAGCTGCCCGGGACCACCAGATGAAATGTGCGCGGATGAGACACTGTGAGGAGTCTAGACCAAGAGGCTCTATGTCTAATGGCCTATCAGGAGATGAGTGCATAAATGTTCTCTATGGCTGTGGAAGTATATAGGTATGTGAATGTCTCCATATTTGTATGTGTGAGTGCACGTCTGGTGTTTTTATGCATGGATGGGTGATCTTCTGCGTGTATATGTGTGAGAGAAAGTTTGTATAGCGTCCTGGGAGGGGTTAAATCTCACTGAAAACCAGGTCACTTTCAGTCACTAGGTCCTTTAGAAAGTTTTCTTGACCCCCCGTGACCCTAACCTCTTGCCACCTATAGGCCCAGCCCCAATCACTGACATCTGCTACCCAGGCAAGCTGGAGCTGAGGGGCCTTACTTCTGGACTCCTCCCTCTGTTTCTTGTCCCCATCTTTGTCTCCGGTCTTGCCACTCTCCCTCTCCCCAACTCTGGCCCCCCTGGCAAGCTAGCCCCTAACCTACCCTGCTTCAGCTATCCAGGGCTTGGGCAGCAGCAGTATAAGGGAGATCCAGGATGGAAGCCCTAGGGAACTCCTGGCAGCTATCAACTTTGTGAGGCAGGAACTGCTGAGGTGGGGGTTGGGGAGAGTGCTGGGACCAAGAAAGCTCTCTGACCATTTCTCTCCTGCCCCCAGGAGGGGCCTGTCAGAGCCAAAAGCAAACCCCAGTTCTGGCCTCGGCAACCCAGGCGTGATGGACTGAGCCCAGGAGACTGGAGTGGAAGGGTGGGAGGGAGCACCTGTCAAGAGGCAGCACTAGGTGGGGGAGGTGAGTAAGACACAGAAAATCAGACACACTGATCTACAGACAACAGCAGAGAAGCAAACATGTAGAGCTGGGTGATGTGAATCTAATCTCCTCGTTCCTCATCCTGCCCCCCAAGCCTGGAAGGACAGATGCTTCCCAGGTCTCAGCCAGATCTGTGGAGAAAAGGTGGAAGGGGAAGAGCAACGTGAGAGGGGGGCAGCGGTAGGGGGGGCTGCGGGATCCCTCGTTAACACTCCCTTACATCTCCCCTCCAGAGAGCCACCCCGCTGAGTTGGGGGATTTTCAGAGGCAATTCCTGTTAACGAGCCAATTAACTTGGGCCAGTGGCCTCTTAATTAGACTTGTTAACACCACCAGGACTACAGGGGGTAGGGATCCCCCTATGCCACCAGCCACCACCCCCCCCATTGCAGCCCCCTGCCTGGTACTGCTTTTCTCTGTGCTGGAACATTTGTCCCTGTTTGCTGCCTCTGTCACCCTTCCTGTGCCAGGGTCTCTCTGTGTCTTCAGGTTTCTCCCCCGCTGCCTGTCTCTGTCTTGCCCCTCTCTGAGCCTCTCGGTCCCTGTCCCCTGTCAGAGGAGAGGGAAGTAGGAAACCCAGCCAGCCTTGACCACTCATCTGTGGGGGCCCGGGACCAGCCAAACAAAGGATGAACGGCGGAAGGGCGGTGGCTGGGGGCCTTAGAGGCCACAGCTGTGAGGCTGGACCAGAGACTGAATGGGGGCCTCCCCCTGACCAGGGGCCCAGTGTCCGAGGCTCAAGCCATAGAGCGCCCCCCCAATCCACCAGCCCTAGCCATTGAGCCCCCCTCCAGCCTCCCTTCTCAAAACTTGGGAGCTTCCAGGAAACATGCCAAGCCCCTCTCTCTCTGAGCCCTGCCCCCTCCCTCACTAACAGACATTCTGCATCCAGCTGCCTGAGGAGGAGGCTGAAAACTGACCGTAGGGGAGGGGGCGTGGCCACCATGGTCCCAGCGGCCACACGTCAACACTGACCAACAGCAGCTCAGAACTAACTTGGACCCAATGTGGTTCTTTAGTACTGCAGGGCAGGTACAGCCATAAGATGAGGAAACAGCCACCTAACAGCATAACAAACATAATGGCAACGGGATAACACTCCCAAGCACCCTGTCTGCCTCACAAAGGAAACAGAAACACAACCTAACAACAGTGACAAACCAACAATGTAAGGGCAGGGCAGGAATGAAAAAATGACAACACAATGACAGAAGACAACTACAGGCCACAATATGGAGGTAGAGGGGGCAATATGACATGACAATCACACACGATACACACTGTCACAATTGCTACAATAACAACAATGGCAATACACACAGCCATGCAACAGCTCCAAAGATGCCAATGATTTAATCCTTTGTTTCTGGATAGCTCTCCTCCCGCCCTGTGGGTGCCCCTACTGATGTGCTGTCCATTTCAGAAATTAAATCAAGCAGCAGGGGGAGGATGGGGTTCTTGGCCTTGACGCAGTGACAAATGCTCCAAAGGAATCAGCTGTGAAAAGGTTGTTAGAAGCCAGGATGAGAGACAGAGACAGGATGAGGTCATGGACATGGAGAACACAGAAGGACAGAGCTGACGGCTCCCTCACACCTGCGCACACAGGCTCACATGGGGACCACATGCCGGAAACAGTCCCCCCGGGCGTCCTAAGCAACTTCACATCGCCACACACATAGGATAATGACAGTCACCACAAGAAGAACAAGCACACACAGAACAACCATCCACAAGGTCACAGCCACACAGGGACACCATCCCACTTCAGGGATGGTTAACACCTGATACAAGATGATCATATGCATGCACAGGGAGGGCACTGTCACCCAGAGGCACAGTTACACATAAGGGCACAGTCTCACATCTGGGAGACAATTTAACAGGGACACAAACATACAAAGAGACAGAAAGAAACCATCATAATATCACACATAGGGTACAATCTCAATTGCAAGGACAAAGCTCCACAAAGAGCATGGTCACACATAGACAACGTCACACGCAGGGCACAGTCCCCAAGGATACAACCACACAGAGAAATGTATTCAAACAAGGACATGGTGTCACTCACACAAGAGCATAGCCTAATGCACAAAGACAGTTATACTCTCAGAGATACAGACTTAACACTCAAGTCTTTGGTCACATGTGGCTCTGTCTTTACATGCAACACAGGGCAGGAGCCAAGCCAATGGGAGTGGCCACTGGCAGGTCTAAGCAGGTGAGGTCAGCACAAGAGCCCAAGATGGACTGACTGCAGGAGGGGGGTTAATGAGTTGACCTGGTGGTCCTTTCAGTCCCTGCCCACTGGGGAGCAGCCCTGAGGTGAGCTAGGCTCTTTCTGGGTCTCAGTGTCAGTCTTACAAGGAAGAAGCCACCAGAGCCTTGACCCACCACCCTCCTTGAACCCACACCCTTGAGGGTGACAGGATCTGCTCTGTGCCTGGGTCCCAGAGGTGCCCCCACCTTCTCTGCCTCTACCTAATCCAGCCAAGGTTGGGGTGGGAGCAGAACCCATCCAAGGGGAAAGCTCCTGACAACTTAGAGCTTGCTCAAGGAGTTTCAGGGTCAGACCTTATACTGATGTGGCCATGTGAGGTGTGCCTCAAATGCAGTTTGAGCGCTGGTGGTCAAGTTAAGAGGGCACCTGTTTCCCAGAAGGGGTGCAGCATCTTGCTCTGTGGGCTGTGTGAAGAACTCAGCCTTCACTGGACAAATGGTAGGGGAAGGGCAGGAGGCTGCCAATGGCCCAGCCTGAGCAATCCCTGCCTCCTCCAATCATTCTAGCTGACTGACCTGTCCCCTTCCTTAGCATGCCTGCCCTCTCCCACTTGTCACCCTGCCCATCCTCACATCTTATTATCAACCATCTCTGTCTCCATCTTCTCTCTAGGATAGGGGAAAGCAGTCTTGGCCACTGTCTCTCTCAGTGCCTTCCACTACACCCCCCACAAACCCCTAGGGGATCCTATTTCATCAGATTAACATATAGGCCCTACCTATAGCAGCCCCCAACTCCTATCTCACCTGCCCGTTACCCCACACAGCCACTCTAGTAGGAAGAGGAAGAGATTATCAAGCCAGAGATACCATCAGCACAGAACCACATGGAGTGACTGGAGGACTGTGCACATGAGATATCAGTGGGTCACCCAGCGTATCAGTGTCATATGACTTATGTCCTTCTGTGTGTTCATGTGTGGCAATGCCAGCAAGTGCCAGTATGTGGTCTTGGGTGGATGCACACAGCTGTGTGAGAAGGGTTCATGTTCAGCTCTGGGTGGGAGTCATCAGGGAGCACCATCCCACCCCCCCAGAATCCTCTCCTCCAACACTCACCCTGAGGACTGTGTCTCTGGGCGTAGACAACAGCAGTGGCGGCAGCAAGCACAGCACAGCAGGCCCACGGGACAGGAGCAGCCATCTGCTGGGAGAAATGGGGATAGGGGATGGCGGGGGAAGGAGAGGCATCAGCCCAGGCAGGAACCTCCTGGGAGCCCCTCCCTATTCTCAGGCAAGACTGGGAAATCCCAGCCCTAGGGCTAGGACACCTTGACCCCAAATGCCCTTCTTAATGGGGCTCAGGATTCTCTTCCAAGCAATCGAAAGCAACATTATTGGCATCTGTAGGCAAACATTTGCTAAGATGGTACAAGGCAACCTACAGTGGTTTGTTGTTCGATAAGGCTGCTGGTTGCAGGATGTAGTCAACCACGGATGAGTTATGGAACATTGGTTATGCTAGGGCCATTTTTATAAAAACAAAAATAACTTTACTGGTGAGGTTGGCTAATTAGCTATAAACATTGCAAACTGAAGGGTAATGTTTGAACTTAACACAAGGTCTATACTTCTCCAAATTGCCTTGAATGGAAGGCCCCCTGCTGTGCTCCTGGGGAGAAAGCCTGAAACCTGGATGGTTAGAAGCCCCTCATATCTGCACCCCCCCCCACTTCCCCATGAGCCTTGCCACTGGGCTCTGTGATGTTCACAGCACCAGGGTACCAAGGTCAGATGTGGCTTTTGCTTTAGTGTACAGTGACCAGGAGAGAAAGGGTATTTCACATATAAGTCCTTGTTGGGGGACCCAGCCCATCCTTTACCCCAGACATGTGCCCCAGGAGCCTGAGACCCTCAGCCCAGCAGATGTGCATCAGTGTTTACACACACCTACATAGGTACACAAAGCACGGTGAGGATATGTCCCCACAAGTCAGGATGGTTCCAGTGGCCCCCTAATCTGTTATCCTGCTTCATGGGATGGATCCAACTGCACCCCAATCTACCCCAGCACACAATCATACCTGAGGGCAGGGAAATAACTATTCCCTACAGAAAAAGCCTCAAATATGACCCTTCTACCCTAGTGTGAGGAGACAGGGGGACTGTCAACCAGACAGAAGCAGAGATCTAGAAGAGGAATACTGCCAGACACTCAACCAGGGTGAGTGGTACTGTCAGAAATATAGCCTGAAATACAGCCAAGACACTGTGCAGAGAAACTGCCCAAAACAACCAGACAGAATCCCAGAGAAACAGCACACACAGTTGGAGATATACTAAAGACACTGTGTGAGGCACAATCAGATAAAACCAGAGAAACAGGTAGCTATAACCAGATAACCAGGCAGAGACATGGTCAGAGACTAACTGACATACAACCAAAGGATCCACCAGAAATACTGTGAAATGCTCAGCACATGCGAGCAAATGTACCACCAGAGAAAGAGCAAGAAACACAGGCAGAGAAACCATCAGCGACATAGCAAGAGAGCTAGAGACACTGTCAGAAACCATGCCAGAGAAACTGCCTGACACACAAGCAGAGAAATACCAGAGAAACTGATAGACACAAACAGGCATACACCCAAAAATACAGCTCGTGAGAGAGCCAGAGACATAGCCAGATGCTCAGTCAGGAAGTATCCACACCACTAAAAACACTGCCAGGGACACTCAGACACACAGACACACTGCCAGACACAGCCAGAGACACTGTCAGAAATACTGCCAGACAAACAGCCAGACATACAGCCAGAGAACTGCCAGAGAAACTGCAAACAGAGCTACAGCAGGGAGGAGACAAATGTGAGTGTCAGCCTGTAGCAGCGGGTGGGAGAACTGGAGAAAATCTGACTTCCAGGGGCTCCTTTATGGGAGAGGGTTCCTGCCTGCCTGTTGCTACACTAACCCCTCACCAGGTGAGTCCCCACATCTGCACCTGGTTGTCCTCCAGCCACAGCCACAGGTGCTCTGTCTGACTGCTCCTCCCTGGCACAGCTTGTCTCTCTAGGCCCTGGGTGGCTCTGGCTACCCCTCCCACATCAGTGACTCCCAGGGCCTTAGCTACCACTTGGCCTGACTCCTCTTGATCCTCAGCCACTCCCCTATCTTCAACTATTCCTCAGGCCTAGAAGGTTAAGACAATGGCCAAAGTCACAGTCAGCAAGCAGTGGGGCCAGGAAATGAACCCAGGAACTGTATGAATTCAGAAGGAGCTAAGGAGCAAAGGAGAGGGAGAGAGAGAGGCAAGAGGTTGGAGGCCTACCTAGTTCTCCACCTCAATCACTGCAGGTAGCCCTCAGATAGTCCCCCCCAGCACCTCTGCCATCTGTCCATGTCTTTCTCCACACAGCCAGGAAAATACTCTACCTTAGTTCCAGGCCCCACTGCCTACCACATGGGAGCAGGAATCAGGGCATGCAGAGGCAGAGGGGACCAAGGTTAGATCACAGGATGAAAGAAGAGGGACAGGGTGGCCCTCTGCTCCCAGCTCCTTCCTGGTCCCAGTTGGGAGTGCAGGGGAAAGGAGACAGCCTGGCATGAGTGTGCATGTATACAAGCATGCATGTATGCATGCACATGCAAACACACACACACACACACACACACACACACACACACTCAGGCCCCCTCAGGGGGAGGGGTGGCTTCTTCATCAAAGTCGCCTCCATCAGCCCGATGAGTTACTGTAAGGGCCGGGCCCTGGGCCAACGGGGCTGCAGCCATGGGAGACGGGCGCTGCTGAAAGCAAGTGCTGCAGAGAGTGGGGGATGGGGTACCAAGACAGACACTGCATGGCTGGGGGCACCCAGAAAAGAGAAAGACCCAGGGAGGGGGGAGCATAGAGACAGGGAAAGAGGGAAAGCCATTAGCCAAGACCCAGGGGACAAGAAGATACCAAGATAGGGAGAAAGGGAAGAAGAGACCCGGGAAGAGAGATAGAGACCACAGGGGTTGGGGCAGGGATTCAAGGGCAGAGGAAGGGATAGACCCAGAAAGCGTCTCTGTGTCTACCCTACAGCATCTCCCTAAGCCCATCCATCTCCCCCAGTGCAAAAGGAGGATAGTGTCCTTGCAGCGTTCCTGGGGGCTATAGGGTTTCTTTCTCCCTGGAGATATGAGTGCAGCTCTCAGGGAATTAGGGTAGACCAAAACCCCACCCTATCCCACCCCATCTCTGCCCCTGCAGATCCAAAAAGTCCCAAACCAATTTCATTTCCCCCTTCCCTCAAAGTCCCAACTGGGTCCATTCCCAGTTAGGGAAGTTGAGGCCAGAGGCATCCAGACTATAACCTCTGCCCTGCCCTAGCTCACCTCAGGCCACCCATTCCAGGGCAAAGAGCCTCTTTCCCAAGAATTTTCCAAGTCCACACCCCATGGCTTTGGGATAGATCTGGAGGATAAATCCCATAAAGCTTCAGATAAGGGCTATGCAAACTGGCTGAGGCTCTCTGTAGACCCCTCCAGGGGGCCAGCCTGGCTTCCAGCCAGCCGCAGCCCCACCATGAGGAGGCAACAGAGGGCACTCCACTAACAAGAAAGGAGGCCAGGACCTAGTAACCCAAACCCTGTTAGCACAAGGAGCCCAGAACCTCTCCTGACATAGAATCTCATAGTGTCATCGTTATACACACATAGGTGACACATCAAGAGACAAATCCTGGGCCCCAATTTACTGTCACTGTCCCACTGTGACACAAAGACACCATTACACAATGATAACAACACCCAGTGAACAGGGCACATTTCCATAGTTGACAATGACATATAGGGGTGTTGATAGTCTCTATAGTGACAATAATGCAGTGAATGACAGTCACGTACAATGACACCAACAAATGGGGCAATGATACCTGTTGACACTGACACAATCACAGTGACAGTAATCTCAGAATCAAAGATGCAATGAGACTGACAGTCACATAGAGTAACAATGATGGTGTGTCCACAGTAACACAAGGATGTTGACAGTCAGACTCAGTAACATGGACAGTCATACAGGATAACACCAGCTCACAGTAATATTGGCACCACGGAGGCTGACAGTCACTAGCAGTGACACAGACAGACACAATGACAGACTCCCAATTAGGGAGCAACCTCAATTTCTCAGTTTGAGTCAGGCTTACGAGGGGCCCAAGACCCCTCTTGCCAGCTCCAGCAAACTTCCAGGTGCCCCGTGCCCCCCACCCTCATCCCCTGCCCAGCTAAAGGCAGAACCTGAGGGAGGGGAGGTATGAATTTGGAGAGCTCCTATTTATCCCTGCAGAAGGTTACACAAGCCCAACCCTCAGGAAACCCTGCTACATCCAGGGTTGAACTGAGGGGTTCTGAGCATCACTGGCTGGGGCCCAGCTCTAAATGTGAGTGTTGACATGCAACAATATGTTCTGAGCTTCAAGGCATTAGTTGGTATGGGTATGCTGAGGTCAGGTAGGCTCAATCTGGTCTGAACAATGAACGAGTAGGGAGGGCCCATGTGGTACTCCCCAAAATTAAAATCCAACCAAAGTCACTGGCCTGGACTACCCTTGCAGGGACTTACAGCAGGGTGAGTTCAGGAACATGCATATCTGCTGGGGGGCATCTGACCCATGGCATAGCCAAGGTGACATCTCCACAGCTTCTAGTCCCCCTAGGCAACCCCAGACTCCAGAATCCTTCAGTGTGAGGGAAAAGACACTTTGTCCTAGGGCCTCGTCCCCCTCCTCTCTCCCGACAGCAGTTGTAGAGGACCCATCCTGAGAAGAGGCAAGAACACAGGACAGGACACAGCATGGACTGACTTAAAAGCTTAGAGAGCTCTAGAGGCCTCAGACCTGCAGAAGAATTAGGGTAGAGCAAGGAAAAGAGACACCTTCATTTGGAGGTAGAGAGAGAAAATGAGAGAGCAGTGGCAGTAACAGGGACAAGGATGTGGTGGGCAAGGAGGAGCAGCACTGGCCGAAGGGGAGCCTGGGAGAGACAGTCAGGGCTGGCTGGAAGCTCCAAGAAGGGGAGGAGGGGCTAAGGCCGAGAGGCCCCCAGATCCCACCAGGCCTAGACAGCCTGGACAGCGTGGGCGGTGGGGGCGGGGGCAGAGGCCTGAGCAGTCCAGAGGGTGTGTGTGGGGGGGGTTAAAGGCCGAGGAGGGAGGCCTGG